CCCCCAATACATTTTTACTATTTTTTTTTTTTTTTAAAAAAAAAAAAAAAAAAAAAAAAAAAAATTGTGAAGAAATTCAAGGAGATTAAAACCTTTACTTCCTTTAACAATGACCTTCTCCTCAATCCTCCGCCCTCCACAGATCAGGATGCCTGTCCTCAGCCCCACTGTGTGCCGCTCAGACAGCTCCAATGTCAGCTCTGAAGATGACAGCACCATGGTTCTGCTGGCTCCAAACTCCCGCAGTCCAAGCCCGAAAACTGGCAAAAGGCATCACCGTCATCGCCGTAGTCGCAGCCCAGCCGTCCCCGCATTGCCCTCCAACCCCCTCCCGGCCTTGCAGGGCCTCAGCCTGTGTCCTCGCTCCAAGGAGAGCCAATCACGAAGCCGCTCGCCGTGCTCTGCCGCTAAGAAGGAGCGCTTGGTCTCCCCCGACACTGTGCCGTCCCCCACCATCAGCCCCCTCAGCCCTCGCAGCCCCGTGTCTCCGGGCAGCGGGGTGACAGCGCCGGAGGCCCTGATTGTAGCCATCTTAGGTGAACACAGTCCAGCTCAGGTCAGCCCCACTGGGGTCAAACAGATTGGGAAGCAAGTCGAAACAGACAAACGAAAGACTATAAAGAGGTAAAATAGGAAAAAAAAAATTACATCTACAATATCATGATCTGACCTGAGGCGAGCTGAGAGAAGCTGCACCTTTATCGACTCTCATGTAGTTTGCAAACATTCCACGTTGCAGCGTCGCGGTTTCCCGTTAGAGAACCTATCATCATCTCATACGACTCTGTGCTGTATGTATATCTTTGAGTGAAGAATGTGAGCAAACTCTAAATGTTCTCATGAGCTCAGAAGTGACGAATGTAAAACCAAAGTCTGCAACAGAAATGACCAGCTATCACTGAAAGCAATATGGACACGCTTGGTATCAAAATAATGACTCTGAACCAGTATTGATGGTATTATAGTTCACATCTACGACAGGACGTGTCTGTGTGAGTCAGAGTAGTGTAAGCTTAACTCATTCATTCAAGTGTGCAAAACCTGATTTTAGCTGTGTGCGACTTGATCCGTGCAAACATTTAGTTTCAGTGTGCAATCGACACACAGAGCATTGTGTCACCTCAGTCTTAAATTGTAATCCTAAACCAATGCTCTTATTGTTCTTAGCAGCTTTGTGAACACAGCCTCTGCTCCTCAGAGCTGGTTTCTGACACCCAATGTTTTCCATCCAGGACAGAATGTTGTGTGATTGTGCAAATAAAATGTGAACAAATAAACAATAACTAATCAAAAATGATTTGATTCGCTCTCCTGATAGTACAATAACCATGTGTGTTTTTTGCACGGTGATGCTTCCCTAAGCAGCAGCATTCTGAAAAAATGAACTTTTCGACATATAAACATCTATTTAAAACGTATTCACTGTACCACCTTTATTTTCTAATATTTTTTTTTTCCAATTAATCTTATCCTCTTCTATAAAAATGAGAATGTTCTAAGTTAATCAGAACCAGTACCTTTTCTCCTCATGCATATATTTGTTTTGCTGGAGTCGGAACACGCCCCTCAGCACCACATGGTCCAGCCGGGGCTCTGCATCAGTTGGCTGTAAGCAGTGGACTGTGGGAGTCCAATAAATACAGCTCCCTGCTCCATTATCGTCCACTCAGCTGGCTGCAGCCGTGGTTGTGTGTCGGTAATAAACCCAGGTGGTGAAGGCTGCTTTTGGTGTTACAGTCTCCCTCCCACCCCCAGCCCCGGCTCTGCAAACAGGACTCTGCTGCTAGCTTAAACAAAATGAACGGCCACCTGAACGGTTTTTACAGCGACTCGCCTCATGATGAAGACTGCTTTCTCTTCACCTCCGAGTCAGTCGGAGAAGGTCACCCTGGTAAGTTTTAATATGTTTGTGCAAAGCGCCGTCCATTTTACTGACCCAAATAATTAGCCTAGCATCCTGTTAGCCTCTCAAACAAGGTCATGTGGCTGATTGTTGTGAGCTTGTCTGCCCCGGATTATTGTCAAGCTCGATATGCCAGTTGTTTTATGTGAAATAAAATGTCTTAAAAATCTGAATTGGTTATAAAGTTTAAGCAAAAATGAACGGGTTAAACAAAAAATGTGATTAAAAATGTGTTTGAGCAGAAAATTAGATAAAGCTGGCTTTGTGAGCCGCTACATCGTTTCATCCAGCTAAAAGCTAAACTGTTAGGCAACTCTCATTGTGCTTTTTGCAGGAGCGAGCTTCACACAGTGTACTTTAAGAAAGCTTTGTAACACTTTTATGCTGGGAAGCTGTATTTTTAGACCGATGGTAGGCTCCAGTTTGTAGCAGCACTGTGGCTAGGTGCTGAAGCTAACATGTGTCAGGACTTGTGGTGCCTGTCAATCACATGTTCTCTTTAGTCTGTTTTTGGCACGAGAATAAGAGTTGTTTCATGGCTTCAAAATGTTTTATCTAACTTTGATTAGATCCAGTTCAACATCTATACAACATGGACTGAGTACCTTGACTTTGAGTTGGGTATATTGGGGGGGGAATAACTAAATGTAACAATTTTTTTCTGTGTTGGTTTTGATAAATGTTACCATTCGGCTTCAAATCAGCCTAGTTTCAAAGCTCGTATTTGTTTAAGTACAAACTTAAAGAACAAATTAAAATAAGCAAAAACTTCATAACTAATAAAATCAATTTTAAAAGTGCAAATATATTTGAATAAAACTGGTTCACATTCTCTACATCTTCTTTGCGTAGCAGAGCAAAAAATCTAAATAAGCTAAATATTTAGACTAGTGTAGTATTTGACAGATGCTGCTGTGTTTTACAACATGCACCTTTCATAGAAGGTTTACAGAAAAAGGCAACATGATGATATTAATAAAGATATGGTTTTTGAACATGCATTTTGCGAATGCAAGTTGTGGACCTGTTGCGTCTCTCTTTTAAAACACACCAGCTCTACCGCTAAGAATAATAGGCTTACCTCTACTGGACAGACTATCTGCCCATCTGTGGGTGTAAAGAATCCAAATCAGTGAATATTTTTTATTTGACTTTACATTGATGAATATTGGGTAAAATGACCTGCAACACATCCAGGCGTATTTAGATTCTTTCAGCTTAAATTTGCCACCAAAAATAAATCTTTGAAATGTTTACAATTTCACACACAACACAATGGTTGTTTGTCACACAGATCTGACTGGATCTAGAGATGAGATGGTTCAGGCTGGATTAGCTCATCCCTTTGCTAATCTGTAGGTTCATTTTGAGTCCATGCTTTGCCGTTTCAAATATCTGCCTGAAGTTTTAATTCTTTTACAGATGAATAACCGCTGAACAAGCTGCTTTTAATTGCATATTCTGTGAGTTTTGGATGAAACCTTTCCTTTTCTTGTGGTTCTGATCTTTGTTTGGACCGGTTGACTTTTATGAAAGATGACAGATCAAATAAAAATTACCCCGAGGGACTTTTCTGCTGGTAGATAACATTTATTGGAGTCACATAACCACGTTTTCTTGACATGCAGAACTAGTAGATTATAAATAACTGCATTATATTGTCTAAAAGCAGAAAGTACACAGCATAACAGCAACAGGCTACTGCCATCAGATGACACAGATAAGGGACTGCTGCGTCATGTAAGAAGAACTCGTGCAAATATTGAGATGGATGCTGAGGTTTACTGGAGAAAGGTTAATGCTGACATCAGGCTCATCTGATTTATATGCAAGTAATTAAATAGATCTGCTACATTAAAATGGTTTTATTCATTAATAGTTTAATAAAGGTTGTTATGGTCTGGCTCTTCAACCATAACAAATAAAAGGGAACACAACCTAATAAAACAAATTAAAGTGTTATTACAGAAAACATTGAGCTGAGACTTTTCATCTCCTGAAAATGTTCTTACGCTTTTCCTCTTACGTTGTTCCCCCACAGATAAGATTTGTGACCAGATTAGTGATGCGGTGTTGGACGCTCACCTGAGACAAGACCCTGACGCCAAAGTAGCATGTGGTGAGTAACCATAAAGGTTGCTCTTTAAGGGTGAACTATTGTATTTCCTTGAACAGGTTAGAATATGTCTATGGATAGAAAACGCTTTCATTTCTGCTTTTGTGCAAAATCATTGTATAACGAGATTTTAGTCTAATCAGTTCTGCCTGTTGACTGTCTTAGTGCCTCTTGTCACTTCATATCCAAACAAGCAAACAGAATCACAGTTATACAACTGTACATATTTGAAAAGCAGAAGTAGTCTCCTGCACAACTAACAAGAATGCATAAAGTGGTTTCTTTTTGCAACAAAACACTTGTTTATTCCAGCAGCCATTGTACAGCACATAAATCCAGCTGACCAAATGTGCAGGAACCCTGCTGGGGTTGCTAGGTGATGGGCAGTGCCTGCTGATTAGTGAGATTAAATTCGGAAGGTTATTGAAACCCATCTTTTTCCAGACCCAAATTATTGCCAAAAACCAGCTCTTTTAG